TGTCACTTCCTCTCTGCTGTGAACTTTGACCTCCCACAGTGCTCCTAACACCCCACATGGGAAGTGTCCCCATGCCATGGCACTCTGGGAGAGTTGTGTTCCACTTACTATATATGCCAAAAAAAAAAAAAAAAGTGGAAGGAAAGAATAGGATGAAAAAGAAGCAGGTTCGCAGACAAACAGAGGTAAACTCAATCTGACTCGAATAAGTGATCAAAAGGTGTCCCTCACCGGACATCACGGCGTCAAACCGCTGAGCAGAGATGACGTTAGCATAAGGATCAGTTCAGGTTGCATTACTGCTACACACTCTTATGATATTCAGATGGAGGATTCCCATCAAGCGAGAGGACGGGATTGGGCTGACAACCTCGCATTACTCTAAAGTGAAAATCAAATTCAGTGAGGAAAAAGTGCAAATAGAGAACATCCAAATTTGGCTCCATTGCTGGACAAACGTGTTTTATCACGTGTTTAATTTTTCTGTGGTAAATAACCAAAAGTCGTGAAACACATACTATATATATATATATATATATATAGTATGAAAGAGAGAGTATGTGTATGTGTTTATTTACCTTCCTTTAATTACATTCCTTTTCAGAAATATGTCTTTGTGTATCGAGATGGTTACAATGATAACAATAATAATATTAATTATTATAATAATATTCTATGTACTACTGTACTGTAGTTATGACAGTCCATTCCAGACTTTTTCTCTTAAAAAATCCAGGATACAGGTACATTCCTTGTCATCTCTTGGTAATCTTGTAATGTTCAGACATGTCAAATAACAGCACTAACAGCTAACTATATATATATATATATATATATATATATATATATATAACCTCATTTAAAAACCACAGAGAATGCAATCTCTATTGCAACATATGACATAGCTGCAGGCGTTATGAGTTAACTGACCTTTCACATTAAGTGAACGATCCGGTTACACTAGGTCTGTTTGAATTCAAATGACTAATTAAATTAGGCCTTTCTGCTCTGATCACCCTTTGTGGATCTGTAACTGCATAAAGTGGGCTGGGCTTTTGGAAGCTATGTTTGATTGTGTCCTGCCCCTTAAGTAAATGCATCATTGTACACTGGGCCCTTTTAGCGCAATGACAATTTTGAAGATTTTCTCTTAGAGTGTTTATGGAACACGGCCGTGCTCTTTTATATTGTTGTCGCTGAGGGGCCAGTCCCGGTCACAGCGGATAACCCTAATACAGGATCATACTCACTAAATCACACTGCATTCTTTCTCCAATTAATTTACCACTGCCCGTCTTTAAATGGACGAACTACCCTTGCTTACATCAAACTTGTTTATTAGCAGATGAGAAAAATGTAGCCTCTTGTGGTGAGTGTGATGGAGTCGGACAGACATTCCCAAAGGCTGCTTAGCTTATGTGAAGAAAAAACAAACTGCTCTGATGTGACAAGCCTTGTATAATGCACAGTTTTTATACATGATATCATTATATATATATATATATATATATATATATATATATATATATATATTTATTTATTTATAAGAAATTGGCCATTGTATATATATATATATATATATATATATATTGGCCATGTGTGTATATATATATATATATATATATATATATATATATATATATATATATATATATATATGTGTGTGTGTATATATACAGTATATATATATATATATATATATATATATATATATATATATATATATATATATATATATATATGTATATATATATATATATATATATATATATATATATATATATGCACACTCACAGGATTATATAATATAATATAACATAGTATGAACATTTCATGAATATACATAATTTTCAGTTAAAATATTCAATCTATCATAAGTAGTTCCTTGGAGCAATAATTAAAAAAAAAAAAAAATACATATGGTATTAAACAATTTCAAATGTATTTCAAAAATGTGTTCTATTCTGCATCCCTTTTTGATTATCCCTATTGCATTGGGTAATTATGAGAATCATGGATTATGCTCATGGGTAATCAATAATTCACTGACCTTTGAATTTCTGCAACTCTGGAACCGACACCAGGGCAATTAGAAACCTAGGTGAGCGCACAGGTCCCCATCGGTCACCCAACCCTTCAGGCCCGGTTCCCACTCTCTCTGCGTTCATGGTGAGCAGAGGATAACAAGCCTCTCTTGTTCACCCTGGGAGAACGTGGGCTGTGGCTGCAGCACTCCAAGTTCATGGACATAGCCTACAGCTGTCAACGCTGCGTTAATTCAGACCCGACACCATCTGAGCATCAGGCTGGAGGAAGGATAATTAAAGGCAAAGTTACAAAGTTGTGTTGGCTGGCCCATTAAAACATGCATGATCGTGGCGCGAATGCTCTGCTGACAGGGATTACAGTCTCTGGACACAGAACAGAGGTGGAGGGCAGGCTTTTGCTCCACATTGCTGCAGGCCGTAGATCGGAACAGTCGAAAGCTTCGAAAAAATTCATGCACTGCACATGGCAGAGACAGGGGTCTTTGGTTTATATAAGGCTAATGTCTTTATTATTGTGTCAGTATCTTTTTTTTAAGTATTTTTTTCAGTATCTTATGCTGCATACATAAAGAATCGTTGTTGAAAAAAACTTAATTGATTGCAAATTGTTGCATACTATGCTTGATTTAAGTTATATATTACCTGTGAAAATATAGATTGTTATATGGTGCTAAACTTTTGCGTAGTTGTCAGACTTTGTATTGGTTACCTTTTCAACCCGGTCTCATCCCAAGACGTCATATAACTGACGTTTTGGGACGTCTTTTGACCATACGTCAATATGCGCCTTTTTAGGGCCCCCTTAAACGTCGGTAGATGAGGTTATGGGATCCTAACTCTACCCCAGACCTAAACCTAACCCTAAACCTACCCCGTCACCTAACTGACGTTAAAGGTAAAGCGTCAGTTGTATGACGGCCCGGGATCGCCATCTACCGACGTTTAAGGGGGCCCTAAAAACGTCCCAAGACGTCAGTTATATGACTTTTTGGGATGAGACTGTGTTAACCTTTTACCTAGGAGATGTAATGCCAGTGCTACATTGCTATCATTACAAAGGAACTATTTCAAAGTTTGCGTATAGCCACCAAACACTGTTGAACACATTTGGTGGAACGCATTACAAGTTTTCAGTTAAAACGGTTGTTGTACAAGCGGCGCCTAAATTAATAACTAATGATATTTGCAACGGAAGTCAATCAATCAACATGAATTAACTTTAGCTGGATAATAACTTTATTCTAGAGCCGCTGTAAAGCTAAAACAATCTCTGTTACTTTAATTTACTATTATCACTGTAAAGCTGCTTTGAAACAATCTATTTTGTAAAAAGCGCTATATAAATGAAGGTGACTTGACTTGACATTGTCAAAGCTAAGTAATGCATTGTTGCCATCCAGACTTTTTAAATTAGCAACATGTAGGACAAAATAATAATAAAATGCAGAAAGTTTAAACATAGAAAATAAAATAGGCTATTAACTCCCCTGGTGCATTGGAATGAACTGTTGGAGGCAATCATGTGAAAAAAAAAATATTACAAAACCATTATGTATCAAGTACACCGATGTTGAATGGCAGCGAGCCACTAGGGCCGGTCTCATAACTTGAAGGTTTTGAATAAACCTTTTTTAAAATATAACCCCATATGGTTTCGTGGGTCATTAACTGTGTCTCTTCCAAGAGAAAACAGTCTGACACGTCTTCCGTAGAAGACATATTTCCCTTCCGACACTTTTTGACTTTTTAAAGCTTCAGCAGTAGAAAATGCATATGATATGTTTCCGTCTCACACTGTATTTCTTAAGCCTTGTCACCACAGTGAAATCTCCGGATCAGAGGAAAGCCATCCAACTGAACATGATTATGCATTCATTATAATGAAATAACCACCCATATTTATGTTAAGATAGGGTAGATGTAATGCTTTTACCTGTAGGCATCTCAAATGTTTACTAGAAAAAAAAAATGTAATTAAAACCTACATCTGCGTTCAAATGAAGTGTGATATCAGTTTAAAAGCATCACGGAGGACATAGCAGCTCTGAACGCTCCTGCTATTAAAACCTATTTGAGTCTTCTGAAGCCTTCCTGATATGTTGCCTATATTTAAAAGTTATTATTACTGATATATTTAATCCCGCAGCAAGAGAAAAATTATATCATCTGGGAAGTTTCCATATTTATTATATAGATGTGACTGGCTGAGGCGAAGAGAAAAACGCAATGAAAAAAGTTTCTCATGGTAAAATTTTTACATGTATCAAGCTAAGGTTTACTTAATTGGAAGCTCCAGGCAATGCAGGAACCCTCTTTTTAAATTCTGTGAATGTTAATATGCTAAATAATGCAAAGCTCCTGCACTTCAAGCATGAGACACACATCTGGCAGCTTACCATTTAAATTACAGACGGAGAGCGAGAGAAAACACTTCAAAAGTAATTTTCCAAAGGAAGGAAGAATGGCAAAATGTATTACAACTAAATTTAATTTTTTTTCGATTTTTCATCATGTCTAATTGTGTGCATTAAAGCAATGAAAAAAAGGAGAGGTTGGGCTCAGAGATGTTGATGATGTGAGAGAGGAAGAGAGGAAGATATGTGAAGAGAAAGTTTCATCACTTTTTCTTTAGCTGTACATTTCGTTTATGTTGTTGAAAGTCTAGACATTTACTGTTCTCATCAGTTGTGCCTTATGTTTTAAGTTGAAATCATTCAATCCTTTTGTTTTCACCTTTTAAAAAAAGAAGCTACAATTATGTGTTTAAATTTGCTGATTTGATTTATATGCATTTTATTTTATTCTATAAGATGTACTATTCGCGTCTTTTTCTGTGTGCTTTTTTTTTTTTTTTGCTTTCTCTGCTAAGGTAATGCAATCCTTGTTGAATTAATCAAATCGTTATATATTCGGACTTACAAGAATAAAGGGACGTCTGTAATGTGATTGCAGATAAGAGCCCCACCGGAGCTGTGTCATCCTATGAGCCCAGCATCCAGACGAACCGCCCCGTCGCTGAGAAAACCAAGGCCGAAATTCGTAGAAAGGTAACTTTGTGATTAAGGAGACTTCTAACCGTGGAACTTTGAACAACAATCTTGGACCATCTTTCTCACTTTTCCTTAGAGGCATCATGCCCTTTCAAACTCGGGGCACGTTACCCCCCAACACTTATGAGTCGAGTAGACTTAAAAGATTGAAAAAAAGAGGAAAAAATACTACTGTAAAAAATAAAACAGTAATTGTTACGGTTAAAAAACGGCAGCTGTGGTTGCCAGAACTTTACCGTTAAAATACCGTAGGAATGTTAATGGTTTTACAGGCATAGCTTAAAATTTACAGTAATAAACCGTATTTCATTTTCTGATAAAATTTTGATTTACCAACCTTTTGAAAAATGTATATCTGTTTTGTTTGTCATGAGCAATCAAAGCTAATCACAAGTCTTCTATAAGACGGTTTATACTTGAATAAAGAAGCTGCACAGTGTCATTCACACAAACAGTAACACACATGAAATGTATAAAATGCAATAAACATTCATTTAACAACATTAAATGTAACATAAAACCCTAATGTACATAACTGATTAGGGAAAAAAATTGAAAGAAAACTATGAGGAACTTTCTGTTAACCAGTTAACATTTTTGCATTGTAGCATTTTTACCGTCTTTTACCGTTAAAATCACTTTTTTTTTTACAGTGCTTTGTTAATAAAGATCATTGTTAATAGAATTTGTTAATGAGTTTTTGACTCATTCTACTGTACTTCCATACTATTTTTGGAATAGTACATGTTCCAAACACAATCAAAAAATTCTAAATACATGGAATGTTATGGAACTATATAAAAAAAGACATGAAACAAGCATATTTCACAAACAAGAATGATATAATTAATATATTATAGTATAATTCTCAGTCCTTTTTTATGCATGCACACAATACAAATTTTCTAAATGCATGGAATCTTTTGGAACTATTTAAAAGAAAAAAAGGACATGAAACAAAGGCATATTTCATGAACAAGTTTGATCAAACTTGTTTTTTCAATTGTATTGGGGATTCGCTGGTGCACAGACAGACACACTCAATTTTGCTATCTTTGCTGGGACTCTCCATTGGTGTAATGATTTGTATACTATACAAACTGTATTTTCTATTCCCTAATATCACAGAAAATGTTCTCTATTTTTACATTAAAAAAATAAATAAATCATAATTTAGTATGTTTATGTAGTATGTCACATTATAGGTGATTTCAGATTTGAATGTCCTAGTGGGGACATATGGTCCCCCCAATGTAATATAAACCTGTACACACAAACACACAGTTTTTATTTTGGGTAATTACATTACATGTTTTTTTTTTTTTTTTTTAGTCATGTCTCTCTAGCCTAAGGCACCAAGTGAGCCAGGACCGCCACTAGTGCCCTCTCAAAAAAAAAAAAAAAGAAAGAAAAAAAAGGTGCTCCCTGCTGCTCCTCCCTCTTGCCTCCCTATGCTCCCCTTATTATCTGAGATTTGTCAAAATACATTTCACACTAACAGGTATTTTTCAGTCTTCAAAGCTAGTTTTGATGTGCTCGACAAGCCAAAACAGCTCAGATTCTGTGAAATCAGCAGTGCCAGCCCGGTTCTCTCTCTCTCTAACCACTCCCAACATGCCTTTTCCTGCGCTCCACGGGACTTACGCTAAATGAATCAAAGCTGCGGCATTACCTGCCATACTTTGAAGTGGTAATTGCAGAATGACTTCTCAGTGATGATCTGGTGCTGCTGTCTTATGTTGCATGGCTGTGCATTGCGCATTGTTTTTGTCTTTGCATCTGCAGATTAATTCCAGGTTATGGACTTGTGCACATTGTCTTAGAAATTGTCCTCATTATCCATATGTCAGGATCGACAGTTAAATCTGTTTATACCATTAAGTATCAATGCAAAAGTTGTGGGTTTGATTTTCAGGGATATAAAATGGGTTGTTCTAAAATGTTTCCATTTTATACATGTCTAAATATCCCAATAAATTTTAGTTTACACAATATATTAGTATTTTGTGTCATCGGGCCAACATGATTTTACCATTTTTTTCCCCTCAAGTTTAAAGCAGTGGTGGATGAAGTAGGCCTACTTGAGTAAAAGTACAGATGCCCTAATAAAATATTTCTCCAGTAAAAGTATAGTTCTCCTTTTCAATTTTACTTTAGTAAAAGAAGAAAAGTACTTATAAATTAATATTTATATTGCTACTTTGTACACTCCATGCATCCTACTGCTCAAAATACATGTGGGGGAAAGGTTATAATGTACTGGACACACAGATTAGTCTGACATTATGACATATTATGAATTTTCAAGTAGCCAGCTCTAGTCAATCATAGAAGATTATGTAGACACTTAATATGTATTGATCTGCAACTTGATCTGCATTTTATTTTATTACCAAAACCATACACTGATAACTGCTACTGATAATTACTGATAGGCCTACTTCAAGTGCAAACAAGTGGAAATAACAATATATTCCATGTAGTACTTTATTTAAAAATGAGGAAAAACTAAATGTGTGTAAATGTGTGAAATATTAACATAAAATATAAAACCAGACGTGACAGGGTAAAATGTGTTGACATGTTAAAAAGAAACTGTCGCAAAAATACTAGTTTCACATAATTTATTTGGGTTACTTCAACGTTATGTTCAGTCGTTCTTTAAAACATACCATTCAGACGTTACTACACGAATATGGACATTCAACAATTTAAAGTGTCTTAAAGAGGTCACCCTTTTACAGCAGATTAGGTTCACAAACAACTGACATTTGTGACCTAAATACGATTTTCATTTACAATAACATGAAAATCTGTATTTTGTACAACAATACAATTCTGTATTGGTAACTTACTTTTTTTTTCCCCCATTAGTTGCACACACACACACACACACTCAAATTCATATGATATTGTTACGAAGCGTACGAGTCAATCGGATCCAAGTGCAGCTTGTCTTTATTAAACAGAGTAGTTACCAGGCAAGGGTCATACATCAACAAACTCAGCAGAGAAGATCAGGCAAAATCTTGGTCAATAAACAGGCAGGATATCAGGGCAGGCAGCAAACAAACAGGATACAGGAACCAGGCAGAAGATCAGGAACAGGCAGGTAAACACATGGAAAAATACTTAGAAATGTTCGCAGCAGCAAAACAAGACTCATGCTGCATTCATGTGCTATGGTAATTATGGTAAATACCAAAAGCCGACGTGGAAAATGCACATGAACACCCCCTCATGTGGTATTTTCCACTGGGCAACTCGTAGAATATTCTGATGGACGAGTTGCCGAGATGAAATAACCTTTGATCTTTTCAAAATGGCGGAGAGCACCGCGAGAGTCGTGAATGGTAAAAATATATACTATTTATGATCTAGAAAATATACAGCATATTATTTACCTTTTGAGTTTTTATAAAGCATTTTCTTGCTGTTGCAGATGACTTAAGCAATCTAAAATAGTTTTAGCTAAATAACAGGTCTGGATCTCCATCTTTTTACCACATTACGACAACAAAAGCACCTATTTTCCATAGCACATGAACGCAGCATTAGTACAGAAGGTGTTTCTCAATGTCAATGATACTTCCTTGGCAGGACGGGTCCTTCCAAGTCATTTCCTTCAGAGGCTAGGCAAGGGTCCTCTTTAGCGTTCGGAGAACATGTAAATGGAACAGGCTAGCAAGTGCACGTCATTGCGTCATTACATCAGTGAAAGGTCCGCTTCGGCGCTGCAAAAAATCATTGTGCTGGTGTACTGCACTGTTTAAATACACTTGACAGTCCTTATTTTGTCTTGTCAGTCCTCATAGAAATAAATAAATAAAGGGATAATGTATAACCAGGCGGTTGTTATAGTGAATACAACCCCGCAAACTCTAAAGCAGAGGGGTCTTGATCAGCCGGTTGTATTCGCTGTAACAACCGCCTCGCTAAACATTTTCCCACTTATAACATGGCTACCTACCAAATAAATCAATAATTTGACACAAAATATTGATTTAAAAAGGAGTTTATTCATTCAAAAACGATTATATTACCGGAGTTAACAGAACTACCTCCATAGCAACATGATCTAGCTGTTAAAACACATGCAATTGTAAAATATGTGACCAACAAAATAGGCTATAACGTTATATGAAGTAAAAATCAAAAAGTTAATCACCAGTAAAAGGGAACAGCTTTAAATCCCCTCAGCAAATTTGAGCCGATATGTTAAATAGTTTAACAAACATTAAATAAATGGCTAAACTGAAATTATACTTCCTTACATTTGAAAGCATATTGCCGTTATCACTCCGACTCCGCTAACGGTCGACATTTTTTAGTTTTTGAACAAGATAGCAAAGCTGCGCATAGGATTGTGGGTGATTTAAGAGCGCGAAGGCTACACATATGCATCCTTTCCTGTGTAGGCCTATGGGATATTTTCCGAACGAAGGACTCTTTGAAATTCTGAGGATCCTCGACATTGGAACAGTCCTTCGACGGCCATCGATGACGTAGCATCCTCGAAATTCCGGCTTCCGAGGATCCTTCCTTGACATTGAGAAACGCCTAGAGTGTTGTGTGAGTGTGGCTTAAATAGTGTTAGAACATGAGGTGCAGGTTTTTGTGTAATCAGCGCAGTGCAGGTGTATGGTGTAATCAGTCCAGGGAGATGCATGATGGGAAATTGAGTTTTTGAGAAGTGATCTGTCTGGAGTGGGGTGCCCTCTGGTGACTCTCAGGGGCACTCTAGCTGGTGATCGTTACAGATATCCCATTCTTGGTTCATTTTGAGCTAAGTGAAATTCAGAGAAATATTAACTGGAGATGATCCGGTCGCTTTGACCGGATCATTTGATTCAGTTAACTGTTGATTTGAGAACTGATGCAATCGACTGGGTCCAATTCAATTTGCTAACTGATTAAATGGGTTAATTGAAAAGAATCAGCTCGTTCACGAATCAGAGCTCTTGTCAGCTCTGTTAGCATTTTGTAAATTTGATCATCTGAAAGGCATTTAATTTCAAGAGGATATTCCTTAAACACATTTCCTGGAACAAACACTTTATGTTTTTATGTTTATATTTTTTGGTGGTGGTTCATCAAAGTCAGCCAATCTTCACCAGTATAGTGATGCTATGAATAGTGTGAACCTGCCTAAACCTAAAAGCCAGCCATTCAATTCAACATAGTGACATAGTTTGACAGTGATCTTCAATATGGGGGAACTCATTGATGTGTAGATGCAGGCAGTATCTGCTGTAGCAGTGAGTCTGAGCCAACCCAAGGGCCCAGTGCACTAGACAGAATCACAGACTAAACAATATTAGCACCCAGTGTTCTTCTCTGCTACAGCTCAGAATGACTCCTTTTGTGACAAGACTGCTGAAAATACCCCCATTAGACCCCCGTTTCTTGCCTTGTTTTGTTCTATCTACCTCTGTTTCTGAGTGAATAGTTCTGTATTTGAGGGACTATGAAGGATTATAATATTGTCAAACTCTACTGCTGGGTCGCTAGTACTTAGTGTATCTGGGGGAGGGGGGCTTCCAGAAAAATTTGGTACAGCCTGCAGCCCGTGACCTCCAGCCAGTGACTGCACTGAAAGAGAACAAAAAGTAGAAAATGTTTATTGTTTGTCAATATCCAGTTATATAAAAATATATGTTTTTACTACTTTAAGAAAGCACGCCTCTGTTTTCATTAGTGTGTTGAAGAGAGACTATACCGTCTGGGGTGTGGGGGCTAATACACTGAAAAACGGCTATGTAAATGTTTATCTCGTCACATTTAATCGGGTATGAAATGCATTGCCTGAATCACATAAATGATAAAGGAAAATGTTCAATTCGAAAAGGTGAAATATGACAACAAACAGAGTGGTGCGTAATGGAATGCAGCAGAACAGCATCAAGAATATCATTTACTGGGGAGAAAATTTGGCCATATCTGATTATTGGGTGGGACTTGGCCATATCTCCTCAATGTCTATGGTGGTTATGGCCCTGGTGTTAGAAGGTTCAGAACACAGACTGTAATAACCTGCTGACTCAGTTGGGGTTTCGTTTGAAAGGTATTGCGTGATGTTGATTTTATTAATATCTATTTATTTATTTATTTATTTTAAATACAAAACTGGGTCCAAAATGTCAATTTTAACTTGCGTTTATTTTATATTTTTATTATTTTATATATTTATTTAATTATTTTTATTGAATTACGACTCTTTTGTACTTTAAGTGATTTCAGCCTGTTGGCTAACTTCTGCTATTTTTCTAATCCTAACCACATGCTTCTCAAATCCCACCCTCCAAAAGCACATTGGCAAAATCAAAGGCGCAAAATGATCGACTGGCAGAAATTCTGAGAGTTTCTGATTGGGTAGTTCCCCGGACTCACTGAAAAACCTGAAACCTTCAAAATAGTGGGAAGATTTTATGTGTGATTAAAGAAAAAAGGCTTCCAGCCGCTTTAATATTATCTTCTTCCGATTTTCAGCTGGCTCGTCTGGAGATGTTCTGTGGTAGATTGTGTTGTTTAATACATTATTATGTATTTATATATGTATACATATATATACATATATATATATATATATATATATATATATATATATATATATATATATATATATATACACATATATATATATATATATATATATATATATATATATATATATACACATACATATATATATATATATATATATATATATATATATATATATATATATACATACATACATATATATTTATACATATTTATTTATTCTGTGCATATAGTCATTTGATGTAATTGCATGCAGTGATTTTAGGGCAGCCCTTCATAAATGACATATCCATGATTTGAAATGCATTCCAAGATCATCCAAAAGCTGTGTTCCACAACCCAGAGAGCTACCTTCTAAGGGGCTGTTTACGACACCATTTTCAAGTAAAAACTTAACAATTGTTTATGCATTTTGGTTGTCCATTTTGGGTCCCTGAAAACGCCATGTTTTGAAAACGGGTTTTTAAAGTGCGAGTTTTTGAAAACGGTCTCTGTGTTAACAACAAAAATGCAAATCTCTGAAGACGATGACATCATGCACATGCATATTAAGTGTTCAATCTATAGTGTTTCAACAACACATTCTCATCCCAAGACGTCATCTAACTGACGCTTTTGACCATACGTCAACATCCGACGTTTTAGGGTACCCTTTAACGTCAGTTAGATGGCGATCCTAGGGCGTCATCCAACTGACGCTTTACCTTTAGTGTCAGTTAGATGACGCGGGTAGGTTTAGGTCTGGGGTAGGGTTAGGATTAGATAGCGTCATCTAACTGACGTTAAAGGGACGTATGGTCAAAAGCGTCAGTTAGATGATGTCTTGGGATGAGAACGGGCTGGTTTCAAAGCCATCACATGGCCTGGAAACAGAATACATCATTTTTAGTCGTTTTCGCGGATCCGTGTGAATGTGGATCGTTTTGACATTGGTATCGTCTGTACGCGGGAAACTCAAAGGACAAATTTTAAACGTATAAGTGGCATGGAACCAAATCAATTACCAATTAGGGACACTCTACAGACAGAAACTCATGGAGGACTCGACTCAACTGAATAGTTTAAAGCATGTTGCTGAGCTAACAACACATTACTCTATAAGCACAACATACACACATACAATACATAAACACAAGTATTGGATAACATAGACTGTTTTGTTTAATTATATTGATCTGTTTTCCTGATATTTTGAAACTGAGTAATACAATTTAATGAAATATCTACAAATAATCACAATTTTCCTGTGTTTGTCGCATTTTGGATTAATTTATTTGCTTTACTTATTTAGTTGCAATACTAGTTTGAGGCAGAATGTTTTGAGGCAGTATTGATATGATGCTTTTATTTTGGAATAACCTTTGTGTTAGCAATTGTGATATTATTTATAGATTCTTATAATGAGTCACAATTACTAGTTGATTTCAGTAGGTTGCAAGGTGCTGTTATAAACATATAACTTTTTTTTATGTCTTTAATGTTTAGTGACTGTCTTTCTTTTCATTTCATCCTATCTCTGTCGTTGTCTCGACTTTGATTAGATGTTGTCTGTAATGTGAATATCATTTGTTTCCCGTGCTGATTTTTGTGTGTGTGTGTGTGTGTGTGTTTGTGTGTGTTTGAGAGATGATGCCAGAGTGAAGTGTACTGCTATCATTGTATTCCCAAGATAAATCACTGCAAATGTTTCCTGCTCTGATTACAAATGACATGCACATGTGTCTCTTCGATCAGAGCGGCAGACAGAAGAAGATAATCGAGAGAAACAGCGAGGCGCTCAAACCTCTCACTAAAGATCAGCTGGACCAGTTCACCTTCTCTGTGCGGTAAGTGTCATTTCTCAAGGCCAATTTCATGCCTATGGATATAGCTATGTTCAGAATGGGAAAACTTGCATACTTACTGCATACTGCGCACGTGATAAACAGAATCATGACAAATCTTTGTCATCACATGACCTCATGATGTTTAATTCAGCACTTAATGTAAAGTTACCATTTTGAAAATAATAATAAAAAAGATATAGTTATTTTGGTAACACTTTACAATAAGGTTCGTTAGTTAACATTAGTTAACTACATTAGTTAATATGAACTAATAATGAATAGCACATATACAGCATTTGTTAATCTTTGTTAATGTTATTTTCAACATTTACTAATACTTGATTAAAATCTTGTTAACATTAGTTAATGCACCGTGAACTAACATGAACAAACAATGAACAGCTGTATTTTACTGAACTAACATTAACAAACATGAACAAATGCAGTAACAAATGTATTGCTCATGGTTAGTGCATGTTAGTAAATACATTAACTAATGTTAACTAATGAACCTTATTGTAAAGTGTTACCGTTATTTTGTACATCTTGACCAACTGAAAATGCAAGTTCAAGTCAATTGCATTGCATTGTGGAATAGTGATACAACAGTATGCTGTTATTTTGGCAAATGCATTGGGCATTCACAAAATTTGCATATGCTGGGCACAGCATGCTGCAGAAGTGGTACACACACTACAGTGGTATGCTGTGCTGAACATTGTGTGTCAGTGTGTGGATAAACATTAAAGGCCTTATCTTTTGAATATGTCATCTTTTATGCTGAGATCATATATAAATCCCACTACCTAATTTCCCAATATTCCTTTGAAAATTGTTATTGTTGGATTGTAACCCTATAATATTGCAGCCTTTTCTCAGTGCATATATTAACACTCATCAACTTGCGTGATTTATTTGAGGCTCAATATGAATGTCGCTGTCCTCAATATGAATGTCGTTTTATTGTCAAACTCAATGTGTGTTTTTATTGAAAGGATCAAGGTAACGTTAACATCGGCAACACATAAAACCTTGTGCTGTGGATAATTGCTTTTTCTCTGGTGATGCAAAGTGCACAAGCAGGCCTACGAATGAGTGTTTTCTCCGTTTTATTGTGGCTTACAGCATTTGATATTAATGAGAAAACAGGAGTGAAAACACACCGACACAAACAGCAGCAGCGTACAAATCTTATAAACGGCCTCGTCAAAATTGCATTTCACAAAACACTTACCTAAATTTCACTGCACGTGCCTGCAATGAAAGCCGCTCGCCTAAATCCACAGAGGGAAAAATTGAGGTGTGTTTTTATTTTGATTTTGCCCGAATTATTGCCAACGCTGTACATTTCTCTGAAAAGAAAGAAAGAGTGACTCGTTTTATAGGATTTAGAGCTGCCTACCTCTGCTCATTTCTGAAAATTGGTAATTTGTTGCCGCTGGACTAGTATTAAACAAGATCAGAAGCTGTGCTGCTGCAAGTATGAGAGGAAATCAAATGAAACTCAGGCCACACATCAGAGACGAGAGGGGCTGGAGCACAACTAACCCAAAGCACGATAAAGGACTTCAAAAAGTAAAGCCAGACATCGACGGGCACAGTTTAGCCTCGCTGTTTTTCATGCGAGCAGTCTGAAATACAATTCAATCGACTGTTTCTTAGTTTATTCATATTGTTTTAAAATGCAAATCATGTAGTTCTCATGTAATCTTTGGGAGATCATACTGATTTTAGAGAAAATGAGTTAATTCATTGTATTGGATGCAAACTTTGTTACACCATTATTAGGGTGTAAACTTTTGTGCATGTTTTTTTTTTTTTTTTTTTTAAAGAATCTCCCATGTACAAGCAAACATGCACAAAAGTTTACACCCTAATAATGGTGTAACAAATTTAGCATACATGTAATGCACACATCTAAATGTGATTAATGTACTATATACCATATATGCTTTTTAAAACTTATTCTATGAATCAACTTGTGCAGTTACAAGTAAAGGTTATAGCTGGGTTAGGGTTATTATTTTTTGTCTCTAATAAAAAAAAATTCTTCACAGTTTAATTTGATACAATTTCTCTATTTTTTTGGGGATTGTAGGTGCCCATTAATTTATAAAAAGTATAAAAAATAGGAAAATTTCGGTTGTGCTTTATTTTACAATTTCAATGCACTTACAGTGCACTTACCCACAAAAGTACTGATGGTTGTGTACTTACCTAGAAAGTACTGGCTAATATAAGTTAAGTAAGGTTAGGGGCAGGTTCAGGGTTAGTACCTAGTTATTACCCAGTAATTGTAATTACTAAAATAAGTACTGAGTATGTACATGGGTAACTGGACTGTAAAAGGAAGCGTTACCCTTTATTTTTAAGGTGTCGTTGTTACAGTGTAATTATATGTTTAAGTTCTGAGTAATACTAGGGAGTCCCACTTTATATTAAGGGGCTTTAACTACTATGCACTTACATTGAAATTAATAATTTGATACAATGGAATTATTGTGTACATACATGTTTTCACATTGTACTTATATTTTGAAAATACATGCATGCAATTACAGCTGTAATTAATTTATGTAATTACATTTGTAATTACACTGTTTCCCCTTCCCTTACACCTTAACCTATATTAAACCTACCCATACCACCACACCTGACCCTAACCTTACCTGTATCACTCCTCAAATTAATAGCAGCAGAATAGTTTTACAATAAACCTGAACACAATAAGTACATTGTACTTATATTATGTTTTGATGTGAGTACATAGTACTTAAAGCCACTTAATATAAAGTGGGACCCACTTTATTTTAAGGTGTCATTGTTACAGTGTAATTATATGTTTATGTACTGAGTAATAATAAGCAACTTCATGTACTTACTATAGGGTTAGGGTATGATTAGGGTTTTGTTAGGTTAAGTTAAGTTGCATGTAATTATGCATAATTTACTGTCAATACTATGGTAAGTACATGTAACATATGTAACAATGACAGTGTAACTTACTGTTATTGTAAGTACAAGTAACATATAAGGACACCGTAAAATGTAAAAGTGTTACCGTACTGAGTAGTGTAAGGTAACTACATGGGTTATTTATTTAAGGTTATAACTACATTACTACAATAAGTACATAGTATGTTTATGAGAAATAGGACTGTAAAATAAAGTGCTACCGAAATTTTCTTTCTTAAAACAACCGCATCCATTGATCACATCCAAAATAAAAGTTTGTGTTTACGTAATATATGTGTACATGTATATATTTTTCTTAAATATATACATGCATGTGTGTGTATTTAAATAAACTAATTAATTGCACACAATACAATAATATGTTATTTTAAAACAAACTTAAATTTTGGATGCAGTTATTAATCATGATTAATCGTTGCACAGCCCTATTATTATTATTATTATTATTATTATTATTATTTTATATATAGGTATATATATATATATATATATATATATATATATATAACAACCAATCACTGTTCTTAAGCTCATTACCAAGCAAAAAAAAAAAAAAAATCACCAGGAAATGCTATAATTGTTTAAACACAGATAAAACAGTTTGAAGTGTTTCATTTTGTAAGATCATCAATCTGTACCTGAGCATGACAGATCGGACATAACCCCCACCCCCTCATGCGGTAACATGCTGCCTTCATACATGCTGTTTTGATGTGATATGTGAATGAGTGAGGCATATTACTGCCATCTAGAGAATCAGCAGAGACTCTAATGTTACGTTTGATTTTTTTTTCCTTCTGATGTGAAATGTGGTTGGCTCAAACAGAGGTGTTGAAAGTTCACAGCCACGGTTTATTGATAACTGCTGTCCCATTTGTTTGCATGGAAAATCCGTATGAGTTGTTGCTCAGTCCGCTTGAATGACCTCTGAAAGTACAATGTGTGCCGACTAAAACTCCAAACAAACAGTATTGAGCATGCCTTATTACTAAGTAAACTGTACATAATGAAAAGTGAGTTTTTTTCCATGACAACTGGTAAATAAAATCAATATTTATCTCAATGATTATATTTGTAAAGTATTACTTGAGTATTAGCTTGTTGACATTTAACACATTTGCTGAGAAGCGCCCTTACGGGTAATGTGTGTGTGTTGACTGTTGTGCAGTAGGACTTGTGTATTTGGATGAATTTGGATGATTTTCTTTTCTTGAAATCTTAAAAAACCTTTAATTTAAAGGCTCATGATTGAATTCTTGACATGTTTTATACATTCATGTAATACATTTGTGCATGTCAGTTGAAAAAATGAATGAATGAAGAAGGTCAGGTGTCCAGCAAGGGAACTCCTCCGATAGTGTTTAAACATATACACCTCATTCTGTAATCTAAGAGAATGACCAGAGTTTGCTTTTTTAGAAGCTACACTCTAATAAAAATGCTGGGTTGTTTTAACCCAATTTTGGGTCAAATATGGACAAACCCAGCCATTGGGTTACATTTTTAAATTACATTTTTAACCCAATGTTTGAATTCGTAAATATTTGACCCAAAATTGGGTTAAAACAACCCAGCATTTTTTAGAGTGTAAAGACTTAAGTATTTTTTTTTTCTTTATTGTTCCCAAATTTCATATTAAAATTATTATACTATTTATAAAAAATCTGGATGTGGCAAATAATACAAATAATATTAGAAGTGGAAATGAAGTATTATTGGTTATACATTGTCATTAATATTAAGATATAACCATATACAGGTATCTATATTCCAGAAAAGGTTATAAGCACAATATAATGCTTACATCTGGTGTAGGCACAGTAAAAGAGTCTCAAACACTCCAACTTTTAAACAGCACAGACAAAAACGCATGTCTCAAGGCTAGTGGTTTTCAGTGAACTGCGAGCAGGGGATGCTGGGTATTACTCAGAGAGCTGTTTATCTGAATGGGCAGAACTGCTCTTGTTCTTTCTCTTTGACTTCTATTATTCTCCTCATTTGATCCTCTCCCAGATTTACATATC